GTGTGTGTGTGTGTGTGTGCGCGCGTGTGAAAAGCGCTTCGACGTTGAAAAGAAGCACTCAAGACGTTTTCACGCTCAACGAAGTCTAATTGCCATAAAATCGAGCGAATTAACGGAGGCTCTTAAGTCGGAAAGACAATTCCGGGAGAGCTCGAACTTCTTCTTCGCTAGCACCAATAGCCGACGCGCGAAAGACAGTCTTGCTTTAACCCCTTCCGCATCGAGCGGCTTCCTTCCCGTGAAACTTTTTCCCGAGAGCTTTTAAGAAATTTATTAAACTGCATTTCAAGGGGGAGTGCAATTCTATAGTTAATCTTTCTGCAAATCTAGCCTTTAAGCGAAACTCTTTACATTGTGCCCCGTTTACATCGGGGGTGAAACGTTTCCCCGGCGTAACGTTAATTAGTGCGCTATTAATTAGATGGCCCGCGTTGTAACAAAATATTTAATACAGCCCTTGCATTTTTCATTGTAATTTATTCAATTAGCTAAATTGAATAAGTTAGAAAAATTAAAGTGAAATTACAATGAATTTATCGATTCAGCTGAAAGTCGAGCAAAGTTTAAGAAGAATTAGATTCGATTTAAGTAATTAAAGATTGAACGACGATATATCGATGCCGAGTGACATCCGCGTCACGCGCAGGAAACAAATAAATTTTAATTAGTGTGGTTATAACCCTGTCTCTGGATTATCGCGTTTCTATAACGCGACTATAATGCAAAGGGAAGTTTAGGTGGCGACGCTGAACGCCGGTATTACGTACGTAATACCCGTAATACCCGGCGTGTTCTAGATGTTTTAGCCACCGGCATCGATCCCACCAGGTGTAGTGCAGCGTGTTGTAAAAGTATGCGACAGGGCGTCGGCGACAACTGTCACGTCGCGCGACGCCGCTGTCGCGACATGCTCGCGAGCGACAAAACGTCGTAATCGACGCGCGCGGGCGCGAGCGAGCATCAACGGGTCACGATAACACGAGGATATAATTCGCGGGTAATAATTCGACGGAATCGGAGGCAGACGCGATCGCGAGGCGAGCAGTTCACTATGCCGTGCAAGGATCCGCGTTGTCGTCGGCGCGCCTCTACGCGCCGGTGAATAATTCGAGAGTTCGCGAAGCCCCGGCCTTCGGAAAAGTACCTACTGTGCTTGCGAAAGTAGAGACTTGTGCAGTTGCGGCTTTAAGTCCGGCTAATGCTAAATGTCGCCAGGTCGCTGCCTGCAGGGAACAAAGCGACTCGTGAGATACAACGGGCTCCGTTTGACAGAGGAGACTGCGGTTACGGTGGTGGCGTCGTTGACGTCCCTCCGAAAGGACGAAAGAGGTGAATAATTGAACGGAGATCGCGAATAATTAAAGACACCGCTCTCCGTTTCTATCGCGAGATTTAAGTGACTTTTTCGAACTCTCCCTGTGCCGAGATGAACGCGAACGATGATTGACGTCTCGTTAACGTACAATAAATAAAAAAAATCTGTGAAACACCTGGTCTTCTTGACCAGGATTGACCAGGTATTGAGGAAAATCGAAGACGAGACACTAGTCGTAAGGTTCGAATAATATTAACGATGAGTTCCGGAGATTGTCGAGTGTCTGTCTGCGAATGCAACAAGCGGCATCCGAGAGTGCATTGGAGCAAACGGCTCGACCTGAGAAGAAGTGGATCAGACGCACGGATGCGTTACGAATGCGCCAAGATTAATACGAATACTCGGCAGATGCCTCGGACGTATCTCGGAATGCAACAACATCTAAAATCCTATTTACCGTATGATTAATGGTATATAATAATACGGTTATTTAGCGATACACATGTAACTTGATGTAACGATCGGAAGATAATTGCCTTGTATTTATACCATAACATAAAATTACTTGTACTAAACGTTTTTCAAGAGAAGGACACGAGAGGGAAGAGTAAAAAGAGAATTAAAAGCTTAAAAGGTTTCATCCTCACGGATGATGACAGATTCGATCTTTGCAGATCTTTAGAGCATTGTGACCAACATCGAGAAATTTCGACGACCTCCAGTAATTATATAATTCCGCTGAAAGGTTTAATTGGCAGATGCACGCGTGTCACAACGACATAAGCACGGCATAAGTGTGCCGTGAGAATACACTTCTACGCTTATCCAGCTCAGCGTAGCTGATGTGAGCCAAGGTCGTCGATTAGCGAGCTCGATTGAAACGTACTTTGTACGTATAACGTTGACACCTCATGAATTAGAAAGCGAAGAAAATTGGAGAACTTATATTGGTTATAAATAGCTGCTACAGCTTGATCAAGCACACCACTCGATTTAGGAGCTCAACGCTCAACAGAGAGCTTAATCGTCGTACAGATGAAACGTCAATTGTGCCAATTCAGCAATAATGACTGTGCTGTGAGCAAATGAATATCGAACAGTCTTATCATAATTAAATGTCGAAGGTTTTCCTTTCAAAAAAAGAACAAAAACGAGGAGTCTAATTTGAAAAAGACTCTAATTGACGCTTTAGATAAGAAACCTATAAAGAGAATTCTCGGAAATATCTATACGATCGTAATAATGCCATTTTGAGATGATACGCGGTAAAATGGTTAAATAAAGTTAACATCGGGTGGTATATCGCGTGATGTCATGACCCCCTGAGATAATCATGAGCAGGTGGTTGATTAGATTAAATATACAGCTGGATAGTCGGCAGCGCGAGATCCGAACGACGGTAGAAGATAGGCTGCCATAACACTTGATTAGGTCGATACGAAAGGACAATGTTGAGCTGGTATTAAACGTAATTGAATACTCTTTTAATGAGACGCCAATTAGTTTCGCTTCGGGCAAAAAACAGCGTGGTCAAATGGAAATTTTCTACCCGATTATAGTGAATATTAAATATGCATATCGACAAATTAATTATGTGACGACGAGTAATCGTCATCATGATTTTGTGAGATACAGAGATTTTATTGAAAATTTTATAGCATGCACGATAAAAAATTTTAACTCTAACACATACATCGTCGAACGACATTTTTAAAAAATCGTACACGCAAATTGCAAATAAAATTATCAAAATAATTTAAAGATACGCAATACAGTCGTACAATATCAATATTATTTTCTTCGCCAACTATTATTAATAAAGCAAAAATCTATTAATAAAATTCATCTTGCAGCGTTTGTTAAATTTTCATGTTACGAATTATCGTGTACACGCAGAGATAAAATCTCACGAGGCAATTAAATAATGCACGTTACGCTCGAGAGATTATTCATGCGACTTTGCGTTATAGACTTACCTGCAATTCAGGCAGTTTCGCAAACTTCCTCATCTAACGTCCTTCATTTGCGTGAATCTGCAACAAGCGACATACATATCTCGTTGTAGTCTCGAAAGACAAAGTTTTCGAATAGAGATCTCGATACTTGAATATATGTGATACATATATTCATGCCGCCTCATATATACAATTTCATTGTCAATTTATAGACACAGTCAAAAATCATTTAAAATTAAACGCAAGTCACTAAACGATTCTACGAGTTACATCGCCTCTCATCCATGCCCTGCAACGCGATCGAAGGCATAAGTTTAATAACCGTTATTGATTAATCCGCCGTATAAAGGGACGCACGATGTCATCGTGCAACAGTACAGTGCTGTACTCATTATTAACTAAAACGAACTGCATCGAAGCGAATTGGGCTTTATAACTTTTCTCTCTGATAAAATGATTTTAATTATATAATTAATAATGTAATAACTTAATATTATAATCTGATTAAACAATTTTTTAAAATTAATTTTAGACAAAAATGATAAATTATTAGTAATTAAGTTGATAACGATCAATCTCGTGCACACAATTAAATGTTTCAATTGTAATTTTTAAAATTTGTTTGAATAACAAAATTCAATACATTAGAATTAAAAATTATTTTCATTCAATATTAATTTAATATGTTATAAACATCTAATAACATGTAATTTATTTAATATCAAGTTATCGAATAATAATACATATAAATTGCATAATCAAAAATAATTTAATAAAAATGTACAGTCCAATTCGTTTCCTACGTTTTATTTGTTACGACACGCTATTACATGTTTATATTGAAGTTTATATTGAAATATATATCTTAAGCATTTTTGTTACATTAATTCTCGATTAGCTTAAACAAAAGAAAAATAACGCAAAACGTAACGCAAGTTATCTCAGGCAAACTACTTTAATAAAAGGCTAAATAAGCGACTTATGTAACATCCTTAGTAAAAGTTAACCAAGCGAGCGAAATCGCAATTGAACTTTATTAAGAGATACTCGCGAGGTGGTAAATCTTTTTACGCAAGTTTACTTCGTGCATTACCACGTCCGGTTTGCAGCTTCATTAACGCGCCAGGTTAAAAACGCGAATACCGCTAGGAAACAAAGAAGAAAGGAGAATGAAAAAAGGAAAGAGGAATGTATTGGAGTAACGCGCGAGGTGGGACAGAGAAACGGTTGCAAATTTTCCACCCGTTCCTCCGTGCACAGTTTCGCCTCTCTCAAACTGCATGTGTAAAAAAAAAATACTGTGGAAAGTTGTGTCCAGAGAGAAAGAGAAAAAACTGTGATCGACGCGTTTATCGACTTCACAGCGGTTTCACGCTTTGCAGCGGTAGTCGCAAGGAATCAGCAAGTTTTAAAGTTCACGTTACGATGTTGGCGAATCGATATTCAGACACGAGCCTCGAAGCGAGAACATCACAAGAATACCTGTTACCGGTATTACGTCCACGATAACGTAGTAATTAAAATGCCAATATTTAAATTGTAACGTAAGACAATTATAGAATAACAATTCGAAACGCGTGCTCGTCGGAAGAGGATTCCTTTCGAGGATCTTGGAGTAAGGTTCGAAGAACCTTCTTCTCGTCCGACCGTTGCGTGCGCATGCCCACATAAAATATCGACTCTTACCCCGCGGTCTAATAAATTAACACCAAGTAGATTATCCTTGAAATTAACTATCGTACCGGGCGGCTCAAAATTGGTATCGATCGCCGCCTCGAGAGAAGAGAGAGAGAGAGAGAGAGAGAGAGAGAGAGAGAGAGAGAGAGAGAGAGAGAGAGAGAGAGACAGAGGAGGGAGGGGAGAGGGAGGTTCCCGAGAATATTCTCCTTGGAATATTCCGGCAACATGTATTTTTTCAATCATCGCTGCGAAATAAGCAAATATAAACAGCTCTGACGGGAAGTCGCATCGGTACTATTTATGTTATTTTACCAATTTCGGAATACGTATTCCCACCAAAACTAGGAAACAGTTCTGCATTTCTCAAATTTTACTCGGAGTTTACTCAACGAGTTGAAAATTCCTATAAGTAAACACTTAATGTTTCCCCCTTCTGAGAAAATGATAGATCGTGTCAAAGTTGATAACTCAATTAGCAACTAAAAGTACGAAGTGATTCATATTAGGCATCACGTACTACCCAAAGCTATAACGCAAACTGCAATGAATTATTTTCTCGATCTATAAATGTCAACAAAGTAACAGAGATAAATTATTTCGATATTTAATTTGAGAAAATATAGAAGCGCCCCAGAAAGATATATTATAGTAGATCCCACCGAGAAACACGCGACGAGGATCGATGAATAGAATGGAGTTCACACAGCTACCTAGGTATCGTTTCGTTTGTTTACAGATCTCGCGATCAGCAGGCATTGCAGCGGCGGCGAAACGAGTCCTGACGGCTATCGGCCGACCTGCTGGAGGCTACAACAATGACGCGCGCGTCTCACGCGCGAGCAAACCCGCCGACGGGTGTCCGTGAAGCCGCGCGGTCGGTCGTACGGGAGCCCCGGTTCTACGTGAGTATTGTACAATGAGAAATTCAATTTGTGGAGCGTTGGAATTCCACGCGAACCGCGTCGCGACGTGAGCGCGACTCGACTCCGTAAAAAGGCGTCTCGCACGAAATCACACTGTCGTCGGCGCGACGCGACGCGACGCGACGCGAGGCGATGCGACGCGACGCGGCGTGATCCGCGGGATTTTATCAACTGTAACGGAAGCGCAATGCGAAAGTGTCTCCGGTTTAACGGTCGAGGCGCACCGCTAGACGGAGACAACAATACGGGCGCAGCAATGTGATTGCGGTGTACCTATCGGCTTCGCTCCGTATCGAATTTGAATTTATTGCCACTTTTCTGCTAATTAAGTGTCAGTTTAAATGCCTATTCCTGTCACGTTAAATTGTATAATACCGCGATATAAAGAGAAATATAAACTTTTTTGCTCTTTATATTTTCGCCCACAATGGACAAAACGACAATGTATAAGACACGCTCGTAAAAAATGGTCTAATCTACAAGATTGAGAAAAGAGTTGTGCACTGAAGTACTCTTTCTTCTTGTGAAAGTTCCTTTCTGCGGGCGTACTTCCGTGCAGCAGCAATAAACCACTTTTTTCAGAGCGTGAAGAGGATTAATCTGAATTTTATGTCCCCAAGTACGAAGTCGATTTTTCTCGAACTTTTAAGAAATTGGGTTAGAAGATCACTCAATTTCCTGCATTATATATATATATATATATACATATATATATATATACATATAATAATAAGTATTAACATCAAATCAATATTTGTTATCAGTATTATACATTCATAATAACGTGTAATAATTAATATATCTATTATAATACTTAAATTGTATCATAAGGCAGTCGAGTAACAATTCGAATATTTGTTTAGAAAATCTCTATTGTCAATAATTAAAAAAACATTATGGTACATAAAACGATACAAAAATTGAAGACAAATATCCTGCATATTCCGTAAAAATGACGGCGTGTTTCCAGGTCTGAGGTTCGGACTCGGCTACGAAGATCCCCCCGAGCGATCTAACCGATCGTAATGCGAAGTCGATCGTGCTCGGGGGGGAGAGGAGAGAGAGGAGTGTATCCGGTGAACTTTTTCGACGAGAGGTTTCCGTCTACGGAAACGACAGATTCCTTTTCGAGACGATCCACGGCGCTCTCGGAGCGGCACGGATGATCGAAATTCTCTCGATTTTCGCCAGGCGATAACGATCGGTATAAGTACCACGTGCAACGCGTTGTCACCTAACAGGGCGATCAAGAGATAACCTATACAGTTCTAAAGAGGGAAAAATAATTTGTCTTAGCGCGATGCTAGCGCTAATGCTAATTAATCGCGTTACAATGTCACTTTCATCGGGAGACTTAAATCGGGAGGAGGCGCGAGTAGGACCGGTATCGACGGCATCGGTAAGCACGATACTGCATATAGCGTTGAGGCAGGCGATGCATCAGAAGGCCAACAACAGCAGCAACGCTCACGGGGATGCGAGTAACGCCGCCTCGCCGGAATATAACGGCTCCTCGTCAACCAGCAAGAGCGGCCGGTTCGACGCGGATCTGCACGGCAATGTTAACATCCTTCTTGGCGGGTGAGTAACAACCGCGCCGGCTGGACGGACGCTTTCTGGAGCACAGCACGGCTCGCAAAATATAGGCGGATATCTCACACGGCGAACACGCCTAATCCTCGAGCTCTTTGAAAAGACGGCGTCGCACATCCCTCGCGCGCGCACACACACACTCGCCCTGCTCCCTTAATCCCTCAACGGATTGCAGTCCGTACGTCAAACGAAGCGTATGCATGTATGTACATACAAGACGCGACGAAAGTACTCAATTGTTCAGATAGCCGATGGTTGAAAATTCAGTGGCTCAGTTCCGCGGGGCGAAACGTGAGAGATTCAATCTGCGAGTCAAAATTGACTTGGAAAACTTGATAGCTTTGAAGAAAGATAACGTTGCTCTCTTTGAAATGTTTCCTCTTCACAAAGGTCCTACGATAGCTTTCACGAAAAATATTTAATTTAAATCACAAATATCAATGTGAAATTTATATTTCGTAATTTCATATAGACAAATAAGATAAACATTTGCAAAACAGTGTATTCGCGGAGTCCGATAATACAACGTTCCGCAAAGTGGAATTCAATTAGAGAGTCGGCGAACTTCTATTGTCGCGGTTGTAAATACAGAAGTGTAGAAAAATATTTAAAACACCATCGTTGAATCCGCGGGTAATGAATTTTTATCTTAAGTCTTTACTTTGTTAGCTTTATTAGCAATTTGAGATAAGAGAATTTACGATGAATAAATGCTAATTAAATGATTATTGCAATAACATTAGTAACGATGCATTATACATTGACGACAAAGCATTTGGTTCTTTTTTTAAATTGCCTGCCGTAGTAAAATTCTTCGATTGAACGTACGAAGAAAGACGTTATCTCTCAAATTAACACCTGTCAAAATATAAAGTCCAAATAACGTCTATATTTGTTTAAAGTGCAATTTTTCGTTAAATCGCCAAGTAAAAAGTTACCGAATAAAAAGTTACTTGTCGAAATGTAGCAGGTGTTAAAAGTGACCGTTTTGTACTTGGCCGCGTTTAAAAATTTCTATTCCCTCCGGGAAAGGAAAATCGCACGCTCATGTACACACACACTTTTCCACCAGTCCACCCGCCCTTTACAGCAACCACGCTTTTTTTCCTCGACCGTATGGGCACCTCCCAGCACAAAAAGCACCGTCTAAACATCATCTATATTGGTTCGCTTTTAGCGCCATGCTCAGCGGTGTGATCATGATGGTCGCGTTCATATGCTACTGCTGTCACAAAAACGTCCGGAAGCATCGAACGCTGCAGGAGTACTCGCAGGAGTACTGGAGGGCTGAGCCGGACATTCACAGTCTGGAAGTCTTCACCATGGACACGCATGTAAGCAAAAGTTTTCAAAAGATTATTCCAATTATTCGATATCGCAAGATTTACACTCCGTCGATATCCCTATTTTCAACATGTCGAGTTTCTCAACAGATACAAATCGTCATTAAATGTCTATTAATTCTCTATAAATTGTACCGAATTTTTTCTATCGTAAGATTTGTACGAAATCGTCGTTAAATAAAAAATCACTGAAATTTTATAAGAAAATTATTAGATATTATTAGAATTACAAGACCTTAGTTTTAATCTTACTTTTATAACAAAATTTAAAAGATTCTATGACATTTTGCTGATAAGATATGATGATCAGTTATCCGTTTATACGCATCCGACATTTGATATAGGGAATAAGTCTTTAATTTTCGATATTAAAAATCTTCATAATAAAATCTCGTTGGACGTTTCCCAAATCTCCCGCATTTACCGGAATATCCTTTCCAAAAATATTTTTCATCAAATTTAAAGGGCATCCTGCGCATAACGTTAGGTATACGAAACTGCTCTTAAATCATACCACCTACTCGACGCACCGCGAGTCGCTTATTTCCACCTGCCGACCTTTTACGCAACCTCTCGCATTCGCTCACCTTTGTGGTTATATACGCCCGCAATTAAATAAAAATTCGCATATCTCGCGGAAACCACGCCCACACGTTACACGTAAAGGCACTAACGCGAGAAACATCGGCTGGAATTGTACGTACGCCGCAATGCGACAGCGTGCATACTTCGCACCTTTAGACCTAGAGACCGTCTCGAACACTGCAGACACGACGTAGTAATACAAGGATAAAAGCTAGGAAAGGAGAAAAATAAAGCGCAATATTTTAGCAGCACAATACATAGGATATAAAAAAAAAAGTAAATAAAAAGAATGTTACGTACGAGATAATAACTGAAAGATCCGCATCTATCGTTATATGATTAAGATATATAAAAAGACACAGATATATCATAAAAAGTCCGTAAGATAAAGGCATCCATCCTTATTACGTGGACAGGCTATTGATTGATGCATTATTCATTTCGAACTTTTATATATATATATTTATTTCTCGTTTCCTAATACAATATTTTATTGCTAATACTTTATCACTGTTAATTTAACGATTCCACTTTTCTCCAACAGTGCATCGAGAGATCGGCAACGTCTCAGGAAGAGGGAGTGCCCACCTTTCTTCCGCCGGTCACGTGTACCATGACCTCGGGCCCGCCGCCGGCATACGAGAGCCTCATCTTCGACCCCCGGGCACTGCCCTCGCTCACCGACAAGAAGGACGAGTCCGACGATCCCGGCAGCATTATCTCGCCCCCGATAAGCAGCTTGCCCACCGAGTCGGAGGCCAACAGGATCAACAAGCGGGAAGATATCCCGTGGGACGATCAGGGCTTACCTTCGTACGAGGCCGCCCTAAAATTAGAAGCTGACGGCTACGTTTAAGGGAAGCGGGATAAGGGAACCGCCGGAACCACTTCGATCGCGGACCTCCAATCGTGAAAATTTCCTGCAGGGCTCTCACAGATATAAAACGCCGAGTCATGGATATCGAGGCGAAATTCCATAATCGACAAAGGTCGACTTGAGTCGGCTGTGGACGATGGCTGTCGCCAGCTGAAATTAAGTCTCGCGAAAGCGTCTGTGAAAGAACGGCGCGTGGAGCTGAGATTGATTTTTAATCGAGAAAATGGAAAAAGAGAAAGGAGAGATAGATGGCTGAACTAATTTTTAACGGTAGATTTGCGAGCCAAGGACCAAAGGTGAAAGAAATTTCGAGCGCAATTTTTGCGGAAAATGCTGCGGAACTATTTCACTCTGCGCTTGAATTAAGATGCATAAAAAGTACGGGATAATTTTAATCAGAAAAGATGAAAAGAGAGAGAGGAACAAGAAACTTTAAACGGGATTTGTTTTTGGAGTTAATGAAAGACAGGAAAAGGACACTGTGTGCGTTATATCAAAAAAATATTCTAAAAATTTTGGAATGTAATATTCCGCTTGCCTTGTTGAAAGATTCCAAGTAATTCTTAACGGTAGAATGACAGAGTGAAAAACCACAAAAGTTTAAAGTGCCTGAACATACATTCTTTTTCGAAACGTGTGTAAACGATAGATAAGATGAAAGGAAAGCGATAAAGCAATTTTTCGAAAGTGCGTACTCTGTTTTTCTTTCTATCGTGTCTAAGCGAGACGACACGTTAAAATCATTGGGAGCGACTTTTCATCGACACGACGTAATAAGAACATTTTTCGGAAGATGCAATACCTCGATTTTTCTATATTTTTCGATGATCGCTATGATTAAATGCGTCGATAATATTTGAAATATAGGAGATATCACGAATAGAAATATGTAGATATAAATATATATATATGGACTTTTTAAATATAGAAGGCGCCGAAATATAGCACAAGTTAAATGCCAGTCATGCGAAACGGTACGTCTGTAAGTCGTGACCGTCAGGCAATGAACAGAGAGACCTAATTTCGCAGGTAATTACATTTTATAGATGTTAAGGAGGAGAACACTTAACGGCATATTTTTCTCGGTCGGTCATTAGTTTAAGAGAGCATTGCAGGAGCGGACATACGCGAACGCGAGGCAACCGTTAGATTACAGTTTCCGTTTGAATAAACAATGCGCATCGCTATATAACGTAAGTGATACTTCGCGTAATGGGCGCACGACATTCGCGGAATTTATGCGCGTTTCAATAGAGAAAATGCTTCAAACGTACCATTTTACGTAGAACTAGCCTCTGTATGATAGATGAATATGTAAATAAATAGCTGTGCATTCAATATGCATTTTTAAACGTTGCGCCGGCAACAGCCGCAATGATGATTTATTATTATACGTCGACCGCATGAATATATTAAGCAGTAAGTAAGTATTACCGATGAAATTGTGCCTGACACGAATAAAGTTATACAATTCGATTCACGGAAATTGCACGGAAAGATCGCGGTTTTGCTTGAAGTATCAAAAATTTAGCTATATACAGAATCTGAAAATATTATAATTTTGTTGGATCATGAAAAATAATTATGCAGAACGGTCGATGACGATACTTGAAAAAAGTTTTAACATTCTGACAACCAGTTTGAACGTCCTACATTTTGATGATTTAAAATTATCTTCCTATTTGTATTTAGCTAAATCAGATACTTCAGCAAAACCGTTGTTTCCATGTTATGACTTTGCGCTTTTTTTTTTACGTACGCGCGAGAAACAACTTTTTTAATTTCTGCTAATTGTAATCGCCAATTATAATAATTAAACACAATGATATAATAATTAATATTACACGTCGTTAAGAAAGACAGATATTAAATAATTAATAATAACATTACGTTTGCTATCGCATTTACGATCGAATCATATTATTTTGTTGGACTTACATGCGAGTACTTAATAACGATGGCAATAACAATTAGTCGCGACAAGAGATAAAAAAAGCGATAACCTTGATATCGAAAGGAAAAATGTTTGCTCGAAAAGGCACGTTATCAGGCGAATACGTTTTATCGAACCGGCTAAAACCTGCGATAAAATGTGATGCTTTTGCCAAGAGCTGGATATTTTAAGAAGCATAAGGCAGTAACGCGAATTACACTGTAAAAGCTTTAATTTATAGTAGACGAGTGATCCATTAGCGTTCGCCATTATTTATAAAATCTTCTTTCTGTGTCAGCATTATTATTTATGCACAGCTAAAGATACGGTTTAAAGAGGAACAGTTTAAATGGTGTTAGTCGTACAGAAATTTTCGAACGTAATCCTGAAATAGTTGCATTTTACAGGAAGTGCACGAGGCAATATTGAAGGAATGGGATCATCTCGGCAAAATCTATATATTATCCATTTTCAATTGCTCAGAATTAACTCGATAGCTACTTTGCCTCTTGCTAAAAGGAGCTCGCGGTTACTCGAAGTAATAAAATATAAATGGTTATTAATACCCGCACTGCCACAGGAAGTGGACTATCCCGTATATACGCGCCAGTTTCATTTACATGTCATGCCGATTGTGAAGATTGACTGATATACGCAATGAGATCCGTGACGAAACAAAATACACATGCCGTATGCCGTGTATGTTGATAAAACACCGCGATATGTAGTTACGGCGAAGCGTCGTAAACTCTAATTCAACGATGACTGCGATGCATCGATGACGATAAATCTAAAAGCGCAGTTACGCGCACGCTATTGCATGGTCGGGGTGATTCATTAGGCGGACGTGTGCAAAAAAAAAATACTGAAAGAAATATACTGGCAAACGCAAAATACTAAACGTTCGCGAAATAGGAAAAAAACGGTATCTCGCATATAGGTGTACTTAAAGCTCGACGTTATTCCTCAATATAATAATTTAACAATTTGCAAATAGTCCGAGAAGAGCTACAAAGATATAAATTCTTCTCTCTTCTTTTTCTTCAATTAATAAATAATCCATGAATACTTATAAACGGGAGTAAAATAAAAATGTTAAAAATAGCATCAATTTATCAGCTCAATTTAACAGCGTAATATCTATTCTTATTGCAATCCACTTTAAGCGTATATATATATATATATTGTCTGACAATTAATGGTTGAGAAATATAAATCGTAAAAGTAATTACGACTTAAAGAGAGAACGCGACGTCGACGGTACAATACGAAGGATATAACAGCAAATTGCCGGTCTGGTATCTTTGAAAATCAAGGACGAAGAACGGGCGTCGACGACATAAAATCATGTACCATGACGCGAACGAGAGGAGTGCAAATTGCGGCGATCTACGACGCGGTGGTCGCCGCGCGGTAAGTTTTTTTTCTGCAACGAAACATAAGCCTCTCGTTGTTAACAATATCGTCAATATCCGACTCGAAATCGATAATATTGCGCGTCGCGGATTAAGAACTGAGTCGACAAGGCATATATATATATATATATATGTATACGTGATTAGCACCCTCGTCACGCGGCGAGGCCTTCCGCGAGGGATTGAGAGCCAAACAGAAAATAATTTCCGCTCCGCGCGGCCTGATTGCGGGCCCCGCGGCGGAATCCGAGATTTCCCGTAACGAGTTCGTATGGAAATTTCAAATTGCCGCTAACGATACCTACGACACGTACGTTCCGCGCGCGCGGTTGTGCGTATCGTCCGGATGTGCCGTAATTAGATTAGATTTACACAGAATAACTCGCGTGTTTACATTTCCCAACGGTGTAACGCAGAACTGTGCCATACTCGCGCCCCGTTATCAATTTAGTTATAGTCACACCGACGGCGGTGTATACGGCGTGCACCGCAGATAAGCCCGCGCCATGCATTGTGTGTATATATATTGTAATCCTCTCTTTTACATCGCATAACGCTGTTACGATGCAGCCCCGCGAAAGAAGGATATAGGATGCGTAATGTAATGAGATAACATTATTTCGCGCTAACTCAAAATGTATTTGTAAGAACTGCGAAGAGGAAGTGTTGCGGCGCTGCGCACTGGGTTTGCATAAAAGCGCCCGCGGATAATTGAATAACTGGATTAGAAATTAGGTGGTGATGCGAACTAAGATTAAAAGTTTTCTCCATAAGCGATGCATATTAATGCAAACTCATAAAAGCCCGGCCAGTTTGAAGTCTCGAGCGAAAACTCAAGGAGGTTCCCTCAAAATTTTTTGCAAGTTTAATTAACGGGGGAGGGAAAATTTTGAATCTTCCGCGAGGGTCGGGCGAGTTTACAGCCGTGTTGTACCTATACAATGAAAACTACATCGGGACGAGGATGTTCGTGCGAGAGAGAAGCAGAACGGAGACGCACAGCGTTACTCGCCGGATAATGTCTTGGATGGAACAATTACAGAGCTTCGACCCCCTGGGGGCTTCGTAAAATACGCTACCGGGCAATCTTCCGGCGCGGCGCGGCGCGCCGTGGCCGATCCTCATTAAGTTTCGATTGGCCATTGAATGTACTCGGTGCTACGTGTATCTATATACGCGTGCATCATTTAGCGATCGTTCGGCGATCGCCCTACAGCAGAGGCAACATAAGACCTCTCCCCTGTCTCGTATATAATTAACGAACGTATTGACCCGCGGAACTTTCAAGTGCGCGCGGAAAGAGTCGGCAGAATGTAATCGCGGTCAATGTAAAAATGATAATCGACGGACGGATGGATATAACGTCGGGTAGGGTTGTAAGCATCAACAATGTGATTTGCCTCTCTCATCGTTCTTAATTAAAGCGACCTTTATTTCGATGGATCAGAGCCGACCCTAATCGCCGCTCGCTGACGAACGGAACTGCCTTTTAGCCGCGAGACATCCGAAAGTTGTTCGATCAGCATAAAAAAAAATAACGACAAATTAAATTTAATTAAAATAATTAGGTATTTTCAGTGCTACGCTTGTGTGTGAGACGCGACAGTATTTGATGGAAGTGCCCATTGCATGTCATACTGCAGGAACATCGTTCGTGTTTAAATATTCTCCTCACATGCCTCGGTATTTTTTATTCGCTATGATAGAGCTTATTAAACTTGATAGCTATCGGACGGACTAGGCGATGCAGCAGGAAATCTTAAATATCGATCAATAAATATTAAACAATATAACTTGTATTATAGTTCAAGTAATATATGTTAATAATTTACCGTTGCTACATACACGGTTTTCACGTGACAATTGCGAGCATTAAGGACGTAACGTAATTCTCTCGTAAATGCAATATTATTTGCGATATGTCACGTTACTAAATAAAGCCTGATGTCACGTCGCTCGTCTTTTAAAATGCGTTATCTACGGCCGCAAGCCGCATTCTTTCAATGTCGGTACCATTACGATAAACGATACGTAATAATGACATGGCAAACTATATGATGCGTGTAAATGTGTTATCATTTGTCGACGCTATTAACTGGCGTAACGGGACGAGATAACGCGTTAACATAAGGCGTGAGCTTACAATGTGCGATTTAACATAACACTAACGTACAGATATACGGGGCTATCCGTAGACAGCGGTGTCTCGTACGCTCGCGCCGCGGAGATAGCGAAACGAAGGAATTCGCAAGGTTGCATAATACGGCGGGTGGTGGAAAATGTACATAGATGACAGCGAAACGGATGGGTGCGGGGAACCTGACAGATGACGACGTGTCCTCGGATAATAAATTCGATTATTACGACTTTTAACTTCGTTAGAGAATAATTGGAAACGGTCGATTTGTTACGATTCTACCTTCGTTACATAGAGTATACATAATTGATTCAAGTGGTTGCATGCGCATAATGCGCAGACTACACGTATAATACATATATTCATTCGCCTAGTCTCTCGAAAGATTATTCGGCTCGTGTGTGTAATTACAAATATAATTATA